GCAAACGGAGACTGTGTTTCGCGGGCTTTGTTATGCGCGTGGAGGACAGCCGCCTCCCCAAGCGCATGCCGTTAGGAGCGATTGCGGGGGGCGTGGGATACCCGGGCNCAATGGGACCCACCGCCAGTTCCTTACACGGTGCATCGGCTGGAGCAAGCGGAAACGCTCAGACCGCCCCCTGTCCTATGCCCAGGCCCTCATCCAGGCAGGTTGCGAGGAAACCATCGAAGCCACCGTGGGCAAACGGAGACTGTGTTTCGCGGGCTTTGTTATGCGCGTGGAGGACAGCCGCCTCCCCAAGCGCATGCCGTTAGGAGCGATTGCGGGGGGCGTGGGATACCCGGGCGGGCAGGAGGGCGACTGGGTGTCTCGTCTAGGAGAGGACCTCGTGGCCTTCAACATGGGAGACGAAAAGGAAGGGGGGTAAATGGAAAGGGAGCGCTAAGGATCCGGAGGTGTGGTACAACAAGTTCGAGGACGGGGCGGCATGGTTCATGAGGAAATGGCACGGGCAGGAGGCGGAAGCGTCCGCGAAGCGCCAGCGGGGGAGGGAAGCAGAAGCAGAGAGTACGGCCATCTCAGGACCGAAGAGAAAGAGAGTCGGGGAAGCGGCGGTGGGGGGGAAGCAACGGCGACCGGGCACTGCTCTAGAAATGAGTTGGGCGGCCGAGGCAGCACTTGTGGCGAACTGTGTACCCGGCTGATGTTGTTGCGCCCTGTTTCTCTCCCTGCTGTATGCTATACTCCTTCATGTATGTCCTTTGTATTGCGTTCGGCCTCTGTGCTGTGTTTCTTTTCTTCATGTCCTCCCTGCCTACTTTGCTGTGTTGGGTAGCTTGATCTCGCTTTGCTGTTGCTTTTGTTTTTGTACATCTGGCTGTCTGCCCATCTGCCGCCTCTTTGTCCTGTTTGCTCCGTTACTTCCATGCCCTGGTGCGTAGTACCTGGTGCTGGTACGTTTCCCTTTGTTTTTTTCTTTGGGCGAGTGTGGGAAGCGTTCTCCTTTTTTATTTTTTTTTTAGTTTCCGAGGGCCCTTTTCTCGAACGGTCGGTGCGATACCTGTTCATTTCTTTTTTTTTCTAACATTGTGTTTTTTTTTTCCGAGTGGTTTGTACCCTATTTTTGTTTTGTTTCCCCGCGGGGTCGTATGTGCCGAGGTTTGGGACCACGGGCTCCCCATTTTTTGTGGACTATAGAGCGAATGTGAGAAACAGCAACAACAACAACAACAACAACAACAACAACGTACGCAGGGGTCGGATTGAGTCCTTTTCCATCCGAACACCGTGGGAGACTCGTCCAGGGTGTCGTTTCAGAGCGCCGGCGACTGCGATAGGCCGTAGAGGCTCCGTTCTAGTTTGTACACCATGAGTTCTCCTGTCGCGGAGTTCTTGGCGGATGTACCGGGGGCGGGTCTGACGTTCACGTCTCTGTCGAAGAGGGCGTTCAGGAAGGCAACGACAACGTCCAGCTGGTAGATGGGCCAGTTTTCGTGGCAGCCAATGACGCACGTCATGTGAATGCTCCCGATACGCCATCCTGGGGCGTTGCTGCGTCCGCAATCCTGTCCTGGCTCCTGACGATGTCCTCCTACTACCAGGCGAGCTTTGAAGCGTCCGTCCAGGTTTTTCTTGAAGACGAATTTCGTTGCGAGGATCTTCTCTCCCTTGGGAACGCTGCTGAGGGGCACCAGATTGTAGACGTTGTGTTTCCGTAGATTGTCCATTTCCTTGCTGCACGCTCCTTTCCATTCTTCGCGCTGGGGAGAGCTCATGGCTTCGTCGTAGGAGTTGGGGATTTCGATCACTTGATTTGTCTCCTCCAAGATCCCGTGGTGGTCGTGAGTGGTCGTGACGTAGGCGTGAGCACGCCGCACCGTGAAGGGGTCTTCCGCCGCGTGGGCAAAATCCTCAGTATCGCCAGCGCATGGGAGCTGGGCTTGATCGGCTATCTCAACCAGCTGAGTGAAGGAAATACCGGATGGCTCCATGCGGCCGGTTGCAGCATGGGCTCGACCGCGGTCGTTCATGGTGACTTGCAGATCGGCAGGAACCAAGTTGACGTCGATCTGATTGTCGCTGGTGGGCTTCCCGCGCGTGCTAGCTCTGGTGACTTGCAGGCGCCGCATGCCGAAGGATCCAGTTGATGGAGGAGTGTCCGGTTCAGATGGGTTCGACGATGATGGGCTGGGGCTAGATGCGTGGGTTCCTGATGACGGTCCAGCTGGCGCCGATGAGAGATGCGGTGATGGGGCGTCCCCGCCGCGGAGATCTTGCCCGTTTCCATGTTCATCCTCGTTCCCGTCCAGTTCTAGGTGAATTTCCTCCCGAGCGAGATTGTCTTGCTGTGTTTGGGGTGTTCGGCAGAGTATACTGTCTACGGGACCTCCGGGGGGTACGCGGATGGAATGTATTGACGGACATGCTGCATGGCGATGGTGTGGCCTACCGCATGTCTCTCACTCTCTAAGCAACAAGATCTTGAGTCAACCTTTTTTCTCTTTCGGCCTCTGACGAGCTACCGCACCCAAACACAATATATTGTAAGGCCTGGTGTTGGTAGTGGGTATTGGCGTCTGAGCGGTGGGAGCTGGGCCATCGGGCAGCGGACACCACTTTCATAGCTGGGATCGCGGCCAAAGGGGGCAAGGACAGCAGTGCATAGCTGGTGCGGTGGCCATTGCGGGGACCGGGACAGCAGGGTTTATAGCTGGGACAGCATTTCGAGGCTGGGACAGCATGGAGGGTTTAGAGTTTTTGTTTGATACATGTACACACATAATTTGGTGTACCGTGATACGCGTGCTGTAGGGCCTGAGGGAGAGAAACACTACCAAACGTACAAATCGCACAGGCGCCCAGCACCATCTGAGTACAAGCTCAAGGCTGCGAATGCCCCCTAAATTTTCGTTAAGTTAAACCTTTACATACTGTACCGTTAAATTTCGTCTGTTTTTTGCGTTTTTTGGCGTGTTTTTTTTCTCATTTTACATACCTGTTTTTTATAGCATTTTATCGTAATATTTGGGGTGTTCTCGGTTGCTTCGTTTTGTTGCAAGGTGCAGAAGGTGCCATAGGTCATATAGTGGCGGGGGGGCTTGGTAAGAGCAGCTTTCCGGTAGTTTTTAGTCACACGGGCGTTAAAAAATGAGGATTCGACGAAAAAAAAAATAGGAAAATGTATCGAGAAGACTACATTGAAACGACATCGTCCGTGGTTCGAGGCCGGCCCTCGACCACTTTTCCCCCTTTTTTTTTTTT